ACCACCAAGGATTCACTGATGTAATAGTATTAACACCCCTTTTAGGAGGAAAGCGATGTTAACCCCAAGTTTAGGGTCTATCTGTCTCTGTCTATTTCTGTCTATCTCTGTCTCTGTCTCACAGGTACACACAAACACAATTATACATACGTAGTGTAAATTACCTAGGATAACCTAAAAAATCCGAAGTGCTATACTGTACTTGTAGATATAATGCATAAGAATACCTGTTGGTTCACAGTGGCTCTCTCTGAGACAGAGACAAGCAGAGAAATAAGAGAGAGAGATAATCAGAGTTACAAGCTCATCAAATGTCATCCCTCATCTCTGCACCCTCACTGGCACCCATCAAATGTCATAGCTTATCTTCTCTTATCTCTGCCCTCCAGGATGCTTGTCACTGAACACCTGTCTTAACACATTGCTTCAAGGGAATTTCTTTCTTCTTCCTCTTTCTCCTCCTTCCTTCCTTCCTCCTCCTCCTCCTCTCTCCTTGTGGCTTAGCGCTTCTTTTTGATTATAATAATAATCCTCCTCCTCCTTCCTTCTTCTTCTATATTCCCGTGTATCCAAAACATTGCTGGGACCTATAAATACTTTGTATATATTCCTAGACAATAGTAAATGACCAAGGCAGGTGTAAATGTCCACCTGTCAATGTGTTTGTGACAATTTAAGTACAATTTCAGTACCTAATATTAGTGTCAGAACAAAGATTGGTTATGAAATGACAAGAACTACAATAAATTGTAATTATCAGAACATAAAAATTATATAAAATAATATAAAAATGAGAAAAATGGTATATCGGCAACACTTCTGCAAGCGGCAGGACTCTGTGTTGCCGTCAGGTGAGCATTAAGTGCCAACTTTGCAGCCTCATATCTCGGTAAGTACTGACCCTAATTTTTTTATTTTCATCTATAACACTAAGAAAAATGTGCTCTTTATTTTCATTAAAAAAATTTTTTTTTTTTTTTTTTAATTTTTCAAAATATTAGGGGCACTGGGGTAGTGAACGTACAAATACATTTGGACCGTTTACGGGTTAAATCTTAGAATTAATGAAGAAAACAGTTATATTAGACAAGACAACCTGTAGCCGTAATGAAGCTCACTTTGTGCACATAAAATGAGGTAAACATGAGTTTGTGTGATTGACTGACTGATTTAATGACTTACTGACTTGGCTGACTGAATGACTTGACTGACAACTGACTTGACTGAATAACTTACTGACTGAATGACTTGACTGACACTGACTTGATTGAATAGCTTACTGGCTGACTGAATGACTTGACTGACTTACTGAATGACTTAAAGTTAGACTTTTTCACTGAAGCGGACCCTGAAACGGTGTCTAGAGCAGCTGATACCTTACCCTCAATTGTATAATATTCAATAGGGTAAATAGAACAGAAAACCATTACAGAATTTATGCACACTCCAGTACAACCATCGACTTCAGAACCAGAACCTTTACCATCCACCTCAGCCCAGTAGGGCCACAGCATAACTCTCCACTCTCCACAAACACCAGCACCCACAATTTAAGGTAAGAAATACTATAATTTCTGTTGCAGTTGTAGTCTTAAGCAGTAAAAACAACATAATACATCATGACAATGAACTACAATTACATATTCACTTTTATTTTTTGTAAGATGTGGAGGCCAAAAAAAAGTTGTTTGGCTTTTTTTTGGGTCTCCTAGGAACATAAGTATTTTTTCCATAAGTTTCCTTCAGTTCATCTAACACTGTTTTACCTAACACAGCATTTCAGAAACGTAACTACCGTGTTAAATGACGGTCTACTGTATACCCATTCTTCATTTATTCAGACTTTCTACAATAAGTATATTCCCACTCTCTATAAGCTAAGGACTAAAATATTTTAAAGTAATATGTGTACTGTATATGCATTCTTTAAGGGAAGAGGCTGTTTCACTTTACAGCAGCTAAGATATACAGTGAAACCTCACTATAATAGACAAATAGGGAAAAAGGTGTCTGTGAAAATCTGTTGCAGTGAAGTGACTGATATAACACCCCAGGTCCACTGCCATTCAAGGATAAATGCCCCATGCTGCAGACTTAGTTGCTGCATCAGTAACACTACTGGCACACAAAGCATAAACAAATATAGCACAGTACAGTTAATTACCTGAACATAAAAAGATTTCAAAGAAAGGTACATCACTGAACAGTAATTTTTTTTACCTTTTGTGCCATAACCTCAAGTAGTGACTCAGAATAACTTTTATTCTGAATTAAGAGCTGCAGAGCTCCACTAATAAAACTGCATATGTTATGGGACACGTAGATGGTCGAGTATATGTAGTTGGGTTGAAGAGAAACGGGTGGTTCCAGCTCCACTAATAAAACTGCAGATATTATGAGAGACATAGATGGTTGGGTATATGTAGTTGGTTGAAGAGAAACAGATGGTTCCAATGAGTGTATTTTGAATAAAATCTTATGGCTAATTTCAATTTGAGTGTCATGTGCCAAGTCAGAAGAAAGGGAAAACCCCAGCCAGAGAGAGTATGACTGAATTTTATATTTCTTTTCCCCCAGTTTTCTTTAGACCCAAATTCATTCATTTTTTTTTATACAGTCACATGATATGTATGTTAAGTTCAATTTTTGGGCACACATTCATTAAGAAAAAATGAAATCTGTAGAGTCATAATGAGGTATTATAGGCTCGCTTAATTTTTTGGCAGTGTCTCATTATTGTAAACTGGTTTCTATCGATGCTGATAAGGAAAGCTTAAGTAAAAAGAGATTAGAGTATGGGAAATCAAATGAGTCTATTTTGAATGAACTTCTATGGTTACCTTTCATTTTTTTGTCATACACCAAGGGAAAATTTTTTTTGAATGAATGACAAATGATGATTGTGTGAGCATATGCTGACAATAACTGAGGTAGGCAGGGCCAACAATCCGACTCATCCAAAATAACAAACAGACAGGTCCCAGATGCAGCCGTTCTGGCCCAACCAGACAAATGCCTCATGCAGCAGACTTAATCTGCTGCATCAATGACCCCAACTGGAACCCCAAATGCAGCAGACACACCGAACCTTTGTCTGGCCAAAATCCTGTTTACTTCTTTTGCAGACAATACTAGAATTTGCCGAGTGTCATCCATTAAGGACAGGGTAAAACTCCAAGTGGATATAAAAACCCAAGTTTTTAAATAGGCCACAGAAAACAATATGATGTTCAATGAAGGGCAAGTTTCAAATTGTACTCCATTATGGAAAACTAGAGAAAATAATAGCTAGAACAGAGTATATTACCATCTCTAATCACACAATAGAGGAAAAAACAAATGTGAAGGGCTAGGGAGTGTTAATATCAGAGGATCTCACCTTCAAAGATCACAACAGTGTCATTATCACATCTGCAAGGAAAATGATAGGATAGATAATGAGAACTTTTAAAAGAAGCGATGCAATACCAGTGATGATCTTTTTTAAGTCACTTGTTCTCTCTGGAATACTGCTGTACACTAATAGCCCCATTCATGGCAGGTGAAATCACAAATCTAGAGAATGTACAGAGAACTTTCACTGCATGTATAAGTTTAGTCAAGCACCTTAATTACTGGAAAAGTTTTAAGTCCCTTGACCTGTATTCCCTAGAATGCAGGTAAGAAATGATACATCTACACCTGGAAAACCCTAGAGGATCTGGTAACAAATCTTCATACAGAAATCATTCCTAAGAAAACAAAAGACTAGGCAGTTGGTGCAACATACCCCAATGATAAAGAGGCATCATAAGTACACTAAGACTTCAAGAGCTTCTCACTATGCATATGGGGAATTACCAATAGACCCCTGGCTGCCTTCAAGAGGGAACTGGACAGATACCTAATGTCAGTGTTTGATCAGCTGGGCTGTGGTTCATACATTGGATTGTGTGCAGCCAGCAGAAACAGCCTGGTTGATGAGGTCTGATCTACCAGAAGGCCTGGTCAAGGATTGGGCTGCAGGGCCATTGACCCTCAGAATGACTTTGCATAAGTCTTCACCACCATTATTTGCTTATCGCACCACCACAATTGATGTATCTGAAATCCGTTACATTTACTATACTGTACGTAGATACAGATGCTAAATGTTTTTTTTTATTTCCATTAAAATATTAATAATGTACTAGTAGGGACTTAATGACTGAAGGTACCCTTACCAGTAATTACTAAGTATGGCTATGACATTATTTGATAAAATAGGCCTACACCAATAGATATCAAAATTTAAAAGATTTCTGCATGACCATATAACCAGTATCACAAGAATGACCCTAAGCTGTTGCCTTATGTGCCCAACAAGAGGAGCATGTGCTATGGCATAGTCAGTATTCATTAAAGTTGCAAGTTATTCTTTTAGCCATTAACTTTCATAGACACTATAGGTATATTTTTCACTGTTGAGCAGGACTTACATTTTCAGTAATTGTAGTAAATAAGTTACTAAACTGGAAAAATGTACAGTCAGGCACACATACCATTACTGATTAATGTGGTTCTAGCAATCCACATAAACCTGTTGCCATATAATGACTTAAGTGGTTCTATTTATTTTGCATAACTTGCTCTGCTTGTTGTCACAAGTTGATTCTGTTATATGTATATGAATGTGCATGGGATCTGTAATAATTTAGATCCTCCCCTTTTTCTGTCTTATTGTATAACAATGCTTTGTCATCACTTACAAACCCTTTGCATCAATTTTTTATTTTTCCTACAGACCTATATGCAAGTTTTCAGTGAATTTTAGGCTAAGTTTATTAAAGGATTCCTGTTAATTTTCTTGTTTACTTTTTGTACTGCACCATATGTATTCTCAAGAGTACTTTAATATAATGTTTGTAAATTCATAATGCATATTTTGTATTTGTATTAAAGTAGTTTTATAACCAATAACTTCTTAAATAATTACAAACATTCTGTTGAAAGTTTATGGATGCAATTTTTTTTCCCCACAGTATCACATCGTAGTGGTGGTGGTGGCCGAATAATTATTGGAAGTGGAGCCCCTCGTCCCACTGTCATTGGCCGAAAAGACTTGTTTGTAAGATATGGAGAGCAAGAGAAGGCAGCTCTGCAAGAATTTGAATTTCTTTGTGACTTTTCCACTTCCCATTCAGATCTGGGCTCACAGGACCTCACTGCTTCTTCAGGCAGAGTAAATAAATCAATCATTACCACTAGCACTTCTGTGCTGTTACACACAGATACCTCAGCATTTCCTTACATGAGTAGGAGTGTTGGTGCTGTTTTGCCTAAAGTAGAAAGTAATATATTTAAAAAAAGCATAAGTAACTTTGAAGAGAAAAACAGAAGTAACTTGGAAGAGAAAAACAGAACTGGGAAAAGTGATGTTAGTGAATGTAATCGTGGTTGTCAAGGTCTGGCCGATGAACAGGAGGGTGTGGATACTCGCAGTATTGGTAGTGTCAAGAGTGCTATACGGCAGCTCAACAAGGTGAATCATATCTCAGGAATCAAACAACCTGCCACTATGCCTACCATCCCAGCTAGGAGTGCTTCCAGTACAAGCAGTACCAGAGCTAATCACTATAAGTCCAGTTCCCCAGTCAGTACAAACAAAACTAGGGCATGGACCCCTACTAAGAGTAAAGTGAGTGACAGAAACATCATTGGAGCCTCAAAGTGTAGTGTTAGACAAGGGAACTCGCCATCCAGTAGAACACCTTCTCCTCAGTTTAGGGTAAAAGATAAAGGTATTAGTAATAAGTCCTCCAGTGGATCACATAGTTCTGTTGAGAGAGCACTGAGCAGTAACACAAAAACCAGCTCCCCAACGCGTATCCCTCGTATCCAAACATCTCTCATGTCTTCCAAAAAAGCAGCTGAATCTTCTACATTGCAAAGAGGAGATACGTCTAAAGATTTTTGCTGTGAATCTACAAAAAAATTTAAAACTCAGTGTGAAAAATCATTGCCACCTAAAGGCTTTTCAAGCCGAGCAGTTAAGCCTTCTCCTCGTATACGCTCATCTCTTCAACAGCGACAACAGCAGCAACAAAACCTTCAACAACAGTCTAACAAGAGTGGTATTAGAAGTCCTAGATTAGCGAGGTTAAAGAAAGCTGACCCATTAGAATCCTTTACTGGCAAGTCTCTGTGTGACAGTGGGTCAAGTGAAGGCTCTGAACGTTGTGGGGGAAGGCTTTCCCTCAGTGACTCTTGTGCTGAAAACTTCTCACCTATTGATAGTGGCGATGAAGTTTTTTATAAAGACTGTTAGCCAGCTTATTAGTTTATGATCATGAAGACTTGATATGTGATGCCATTGTGCTCTGCCAGATATGGTGCTTCATGGGATTTAATGTAAGGGAGCACAGATTCTTTTTATTTTTTACTTTTTTTTTTTTGTTTGCACTGTGCATGATTGCCATTATGAAATTTTGTATTAGTTTAAGTAGCTGTGGGGTTATTTATTTCTTTAATTTATTTTATTTTATTCAAAGGTCCATGGATAAGCACATTCCGACTTATTGTGACCATGACAATATTTCCATATTATGTGAATATATTTCAAAAATAAAAATTTTCAGTTTCTAATAATTAAAGCTGTTGTCTTCCACTGTATTCTCATACTAACATGCTTATGCTTCCCTAGGCTCACATGATGTGGAAGATTTGCCAAAAGCAGTATAGATAAAGGTGGCTTTTTTCTGATTATTTTGATTAAGTCATGTTAGTATTTGTGAGAGATAAACAGGTGAAATGGTATCAAGTGTGTTAAATTATGTATCTCAACAGCTAGAGCATTTGCTAGTCACTATGGAGTTAGGGCACCTAAGTAGGGTTTAGGAAGATGCAGATCTGTGTCTTGCATAGATGTATTTATGCAATAATTGACTTAAGTGTTGCAAGCATTTAACTACCTTTCTGATTATTTGAATCCTCTGATAATAAATGTAGACTACTACAAGGGATGTAGGACCGTGTTCCCTTAAATGACCAAGAATGTAAAACTGCTTGACATTGAGGAAGACACTTTGTGCAATCCTCCCCAGCATTAGATATCCAAGATACAACTTCCTAACATAATTTTTTTCAGTGTATTGTAACTTATCAAGAAGACCATTTTTATATATAATTATAATAAATATGCAAGAAAAGTATATAATTTTTTGCATCAATGAAACTTGCAATAAAGATATGGTGTATAAAAGTTGTAAGAGATGTGTCTTGTATGCTAGTAGGGATACCTCATTCTGGAGTGGTGATTGTGTTGTAGTTGTATAAAACCAACATTAAAGTATTCCAAATTGACACAGTGAAGACTGAGTCTAGACCCCAAGCGTGTTCTACCCTTCCCTTATCTTCAGTACAGTATTGCATCAACTGCAGTTTCTCGGTACTTCTGCATATACGGTAGGACCCTAACTTACGAATAAGTTGCATTCCCGGTGTTTCGATTTAAAAAAAGTTATTTGCAACCTTGAGACTTATCCTTCAAAAAAAGACAGGAAAAAGGATGGTTGTCACATATGTTCATAACTGTAGAGAGACATTCATCAAATATTCTCTCAATATGTCTTTCAGGCCTCTTAATTTGAAAATTTTTTATTATAATAGATAAGTGCCAAACCCACAGGGGTCATACAACACCTGGGGAATGGGAGGCAATTATTTATGATCCAAAGAAGGGGATGATAAGTTCAATTTCTTGGATCAAGAGCCCCTCAACAGCACTTTGGTATCTCCCAAGAGGGGTGGAATATCGTAAGTTCAGGTCCAGCTGTAATTTGCAATAAATTCACCTATTTAATTTGTGAAATTAAGACTATCAGGTGCATTGCTCCTTAACAAGAACAAATAATACAAGAGGTATAATTAGAGAGAAGTTTTAAATAGTTCATCTCAATTCGTTTTACAACATCCAGATATGTATAAACATTACTTTGCAAATGTCTATTGCATCCAACATAAACTAAACGCAGTATTTTGACAGCAATAGCAGTAATAGTTGATTAAATATCCCAGAAGAATCTAGGTGCAGTCTAGTGAGAATTTTCTTTAATTGTACGTGGAATGTTAAATCTCTTATTATTTCAGATATTTGTTTTATATGTGAATATTTGGTAATTTCTTATATGTTAGAATTTTGTAATTTAAGATAATGCACAGCTTAACAGAAAAACTACATAAATCCAGATGTCTGCTCATTTCTTGATTAATAATCCTATAAATACATTTTTTACTTCAGATATATTTTTCTGTTTTTCTATACAGTACTTGGTAGTTTCCCAAAGTGTCAGTTTTTTATTGTGGCTTTGGACAAAATGAAAAATATTAGAAGTGTAGACATTGTGTGCAAGAGGACCAATCACACAAATTTACATACGTCCTTTCTTCCCATGAGTGGTGTATATGTGACTGCCACGATTCATAACATCCATGAAGGTAGATCTCAAATTGTGTATATTATATATATGTATGTATGTATGTATGTGTGTGTGTGTATATTTTATATTATATATATATATATATATAATATATATTATATATATATATATATATATATATATATATATATACATATACACACACACACAACACAACACACACACACACACACACCACACACACACACACACACACACACACACACACACACACACACACACACACACACACACATACATGCACATATATATAAAGTTATGAGACATGCATTTCACATGTATTTAACTGTTGTAAGATAGTATGGTAACTAGTGTATATAGATTTTGTAGTTTCCTAATTCTTACATCATTATAGTCAAAATTTTTGCTGAGTTTTAATGTCCCCCAATCTTTTGCCTCTAAGAGTGATGCACATTGGTAACTAATGCTAAATGATGAACTTGATGAAGGATAAAATAAAAAAACCCTTTTGGC